AAAAAAAACCCTTTATGACAATACAAAAAGAAAACTAATTAATATGAAGCACACATATAGACTTTCAAATGTGCTGGAGGACCAGGGAGGAAGGAAGGATGGGAGGGCCTGGAGAAGGACTCCAGCCATGAAGACAGGGGGCTAGCAGAGCAGAGAATAAATGGCTGCCAAAAAGGGACTAGGCTTCGACCTCAGGTCGCAAGGACTAGACTAGACTGGGGGTAGAGGTCAGGGAGCAACACATGTGAGATACGAGGGAACAGCCTAAACATCAGGAGCCTCAGGCCGGCTGGGAGCAGTGTTACAAGAGCCTCAGGTCCTCACCTTCTGTGACAGCCCACCCTGAACAGCTGCCTGGAGACACAAGAAGCCTCTACTCCCCACCCCTAATGCTGCAACTTGCCTAACTTTTCAAAACTTCTTGCCACCATGCAGGGTTTACCATGACAGCCTCCCTAAACTACGCCTTTAAGAATTTTAGGCCAAGCCCCAAATGTCACCCTCTCAGAATGTGTCCTGTAGATAGGGGGACTGATCAAGAGAAGACAGCCCAGGGCAAGGCAGCAGACCTCATCCATGGGCAGAGGTTCAGGGGCCACCATGGCAACTCCCCACAGTGACCTAGAACCCACCAGAGACACAAGGCCAGGGAAGGCCTTTGTCCTGCTCTCCCTGACCACGGCCCCCTCCAGCCACCTACCTCAGTGCGCTGCTGCTCTAGCATCTTCACCTTCTTCTCGGCTGCACCCAAGGCTCCCACCTCCGGGCCCTTACCCGCTGTCATACTGGCCTGGGGGGAAACACAGAGAGGCCTTCAGCAAAGCTTCAAGTACAAATTCTCTTACTTACTCCCTGCTTCTCTAAGGCCCCTCACCTCCTATGGCCCCAACCCTCTGTCTCCTACTTCCCTAGTCCCCTCATCCACCAGGACGCCTCTAACCATCCCAGCCAGGACTACATTTTTCTTCCAGAAGTCCATCAAGATGATCATTGTCCTCCCCTGACTCATGTTGGCTGTCACACCCTCTCACCTTTCCTTCTCCCCTTGCCATAGCCATGTTCCCTGCTTAGTCATGGTTTCCAAGGCACCACCAGCAACTGTCCCCTCCCAACTATACACAAATCAGCCAAAAACCCCCTGGCCTAGAAGGCAAGAGTTATACATATTTTGAAGTTCTGGGTTTTTTTTGTTGTTGTTGTTTGTTTTTTTGAAACAGTCTCACTCTGTCACCCTGGTTCTAAAGGCATGGCATCATCAACCTCAAACTTTTGGGCTCAAGTGATCCTTCTGCCTCAGTTTCCCTATTTTTAGTAGAGAGGGTGCCTTGCTGTTGCTCAGGCTGATCACAAACTCCAGACCTCAAGAAATCTGCCCACTTTGGCCTCCCCGAGTGCTAGGATTACAGGAATGAGCCACTGTGCCCTGCCTAAAGTTTTATAAAACTTTTATAGAAGTTAAAGTTCTATAAAATGCTTAAGAAACATTTTTAGAAAGATGCAGAAATAAACAAAGATGTATGTGTATGCATGAGTAGTCTCAAAGTCCTGGCCTCAAGTAATCTTCCTACTTTAGCCTCCCAAAGTGCTGGGATAAAGGCATGAGCCACCATGCCTGGCCAATATGATTAGTACACATATCCATGTATATATTTCCTAGCTTTGTCCTCTGGAAGGGCTTAAAGCAGTGACACCTCAGTAACAACAAGCATACCTAGTGCCTAGAGCTTGGTTTTTAAATACCACTTTCTAATAAAAAGAAACAGCGTTCTGGCTTGGCACCCGTAGCTCAGTAGTTAGGGTGTCAGCTACATGTACTGGGGCTGGTAGGTTCCAACCCAGCCTGGGCCTGCTAAACAACAATGACAACAATAACAAAAAAAAATAGCCAGGCACTGTGGCAGGCACCTGTAGGACCAACTACTTTGGGAGGCTGAGGCAAGAAAATGGCTTAGGCCCAAGAGTTTGAGGCTGCTGTGAGCTATGATGCCATGGTATTCTACCAAAGGCGACATAGTGAGACTATGCCTCAAAAAAAAAAAAAGAGGCTCGGCACCTGTAGCTCAAACAGTTGGGACGCCAGCCACATGCACTGAAGCTGACAGGTTTGAATCCAGCCCGAGCCAAACAACAATAAGAACTACAACCAAAAAATAGCCGGGCATTGTGGCAGGCACCTGTGGTCCCGGCTGCTTGGGAGGCTGAGGCAGGAGAATCACTTAAGCCCAAGAGTCTGAGATTGCTGTGAGTTGTAAGACCATGACATTCCACTGAGGGTAACAGCTTGAAACTCTGTCTCAAAATAAAAAAAAAAAAAGAAAAGAAAAAGAAACAGGGTTCCTTAGAGATGTGGTTAATTCCAGGGCTGAGACAGAGAAAACATTTCACTGTTTTTTTATTTTTTTGAGACAGTCTCACTTTGTTGCCTTTGGTAGAATGCCATGGTGTCATAGGTCCCCCAGTAGCTGGGACCACAAATGCCTACCACAAGGCCCAGTTAGTTTTTCTATTTTTAGCAGAGATAGGGTCTTGCTCTTGCTCAGGCTGGTCTTAAACTACTGAGCTCAAGTGATCCACCCACCTTGGCTTCCCACAGTGGGAAATATTTGTTGAGCAAGTTTGGAGCATCTTGAAGTGCCAGAAAGCAAGGAAGTGCTCAAAAAATGATAATAATAATAATAATAATAACAGGGGCGTGTCAATAGGGCATAGGAGAGAACTTGGAAAAGTTTCTATGGCCAAAGCTGGAACAATTTAAACAACAAAAGCATGAAATAAACATTCTTGAGTTCCCATTAATAGAAATAGGTGAATAAATAAATAAATGGGGGAGGAGGGACAGCTCTTCCTTACAAAGGAATCCCAATTAATAAATGTAGAAAAGAAAGAATGGAAATAGGAAATCACTATTAGAATAGTACAATAATCATCACTGCAGATGAGATCATCAACAGGGACCAAATTAGTGAGTTTAAAAAGAAATGGGGGCTCGGCGCCCATAGCACAGTGGTTAGGGTGCCAGCCACATATACCGAGGCTGGTGAGCTTGAACCAGGCCTGGATCAGCTAAAAAACAACAATGACAACTGCAACAGAAAAACAGCTGGGCGTTGTGGTGGGTGCCTGTAGTCCCAGCTACTTGGGAGGCTGAGGCAAGAAAAATTGCTTAAGTCCAAGAGTGAGGTTGCTATGAGCTATGACGCCACCGCACTCTACCAAGGGCGACAAAGTGAGACTCTGTCTCAAAAAACAATAATAAAATAAACACTATTGTGACAGGCACCTCCCCTACTCGGGAGGCTGAGGCAAGAGAATCACCTAAGCCCAGGAGTTGGAGGTTGCTGTGAGCTGTGTGACGCCACGGCACTCTACCAAGGGTGATAAAGTGAGACTCTGTCTCTACCAAAAAAAAAAAATACATATATGTATGTATACACATATATATATATGCTAAACAATGACAACAATAATAAAACAAATAGCCAGGCACTGTGGCAGGCACCTGTAGGACTAACTACTTGGGAGGCTGAGGCAAGAAAATGGCTTAAGCCCAAGAGTTTGAGGCTGCTGTGAGCTATGATGCCATGGCACTCTACCAAAGGTGACACAGTGAGACTCTGCCTCAAAAAAAAAAAAAAAAAAAAAAAAAAACCTGGCTCAGCACCTGTAGCTCAAGTGGGTCTCCAGCCACATGCACTGGAGCTGGTGGGTTTGAATCCTGCCTGGGCCTACCAAACAACGATGACAACTACAACCAAAAGCAATAAGATATTTATATATATCCTATTTATATATATAAAGCAATAGGATATTTGCATAGTCTCAAAGTTTCTCCTCAAAAATGAATTAGTCCCTTCATTATGGAGAAACCTGACAGACACCACGTTAAGGACTTGGTGAAAGTTAACAGTAACAAGACAGCCTGACATCACGTACCCCTGATACTACGTACTGCAGACACTGATGTACATAAGTGAGGCTCCGGCCCAAACCTATAACCTCACTCTGAGAGTGAGAAAACATCAAATAAAACCCAAATTGAGAAACATTCGACTAAGTAACTGGTTAGTATAACTCTAGAGTGTCATTAAAGATAAGGAACAACTGCAACTATCAGAGAGCCGAGGAAACTAAGGAGACAACTTAATGCTCTGTGGGATGCTGGATTCAAACTTGGGGCCGATAAAAGACGTGACTGAAAAACTGGTAAAATGTGAATGAAGTTGATAGTTCAGTTAATAGTACCGATGTTAATTCCTAGTTTTGATGACTGAAACAGTTATGTAAGATGTCACCATTAGGGGAAGCTAGGAAAGGGGGACACAGGAACTCTTTGGACTACTTTTACAACTTTTCTGTAAGTATAAACAGTTATGTCAAAATAAAAAGTTTCTATTTTTTTAAAAACAGAAAATGCTGCTGGGTGGTGCCTGTGGCTCAAGGAGTAGGGCACTGGGCCCCATATACCAGAGGTGACAGGTTCAAACTCGGCCCCAAAAACTGCAAAAAAAAAAACAAACCAGAAAATGCCGGGGTGAAACAGCTAAAGACTCCAGAGGCTAAGAGTCCAGAAATCAAGCGTTGACTCTATCTCCAAGCCTATCCTTGATGTAGACCAACGTCCTCACCCTCTCTTCTACAGTCAGAAGATCCAATAGGAGAGGGTTTCTGCAGGGCCCATCCATCTACTACCTGGAATCAGATTCCATTCTCAGCCTCACCAGCTTCTCCACACTTGGGGCTGGGGGTGGAGCCTGGGGCAGAATTTCTGAGGCCCAAGCGCCCCCTGCAGACACAAGCCGGTAAGCACATCATTATAGACCAAGGAGCAAGGTAAAGCCAGGGGGCGGAGCTGGGGGAGGGCCCTAAGGTAAGGAGGCCTCCTTTGACAAAGGGGAGAGATGGGCCTGTGCCCTTGTAATCTGCTCCACCTGGAAGGGAGCTGAGCTTAGCAAAGGTCAGCAAGTTGCTGAAGAGGGAGGAAGGAGGGGATGGTGAGCTCCTAGGTAAGATACCCTGGCCCTCTAGATAAAACAGTAAGTAAGCTGTGGAGTCAATAGAGCTGGCCCCAACCACCAAGTCTATTGTTAAAAGCTACAGCTAACGATCACTATTTACTATGCTAACCCTGCTTTACACACATAGCATCACCAAATCCTCACAACAACCCCTTGAGGTAGATATCACTAACTCCATTTTACAAAGGAGGAAACTGAGGCCCACGGGGCTTTTGTAACTTGTCCAAGGTCACAGGCTGGTATGAGGTGGAGCCAGTATTATTCCCTCATGTGATGCCAAGGCACGTGCCTCACTCCTCCCTATAACACACACCACTTGTGGGATAGGTAACCCAGGGGTGCCAGGGAAAGTTGCTCCCACTCTCAGATAGGCAGTGAGAGCATCTGGTTTTCCAAGGTAGTAAAGGGAGATGAGCTGATATTAAAAGGCTTTGTAAAAGTAAAGAGGCTTGCCCATAGACTCCCACACCTGAGACGGCAGAGTCCATAAGTCACTTCCACAAAGGACACACAAGGTATAGGGATCCAATCTGAGGGGCAAATGGAAAAAGAGAGGATGTCCATGGGCTGGGGTGCAGAAGACCAGGGAAGAGCAGACTTTAGCCATTTACCAGCATATTTCTCTGGCCATGCCCCACATCTGCCTGACATCGGGTAACACAGGAATCTTGATTACACGATGTCACAAGATCTCTCTAAACCTACTGTCACAGCTGCAAAGTAGGATAATACTCCCAGCCCTGCCTACCTCGCATGTAGAGAAGAGGCCCAAGTAAAATAATGGATCTGCCAGTCCTGGGTAAGCGCTACATTGCCACACAGTAATAAGAAATTAAGTTATTAGGATAATTACACAGGTGTAGGGTTTGTTAAAGGCATCGAGCTCTAATGCATAGCAATTAAAACCCCATTAAAGGGGGAAAAAGACCATGTTGGCCAAGAGTTGGGACTGAGCTCTGCAACAAGGGAAATGGCACCGACTGGGCAAGGGGCACAGAGCCAGCTCCTGCCTGGGCACCAGATGTGAGCCAGTGCTGGGAATGGAGGGAGGATGGGGAAAGTGGGCCACCCTGCAGTGTCACCAGAACATGCTGATACTGGTCAACACCCTCCTCTCTCCATTTTAGAGGCTACAGGGGTGCAATCATAAGAACTTAGCAGAATCCCCAGAGAAGCTTGCTCAACCAAACACCCTAATTCTGCCAGGACTATTGGAGATGTTAAGCTGATTTTGGGGAACCACCCTTAAGAGAGACCTTAACAGGGCTGGGTGTGGCGAGGTGGCTCACACCTGAGAGCACCTAATCCTAGCACTCTGGAAGGCCAAGGCTGGTGGATTGCCCTGAGCTCACAGGTTCAAGACCAGCCTGAGCAAGAGTAAGACCTGTCTCTAAAAATAGCTGGGCATTGTGGTGGACACCTGTAGCCCCAGCTACTTGGGAGGCTGAGGTAAGAGAAT